TCACGTTAACATTTCCAGAGTGGAGCTCCTTGTGTCATCGAGCCCTTCTTGGTCAATTGGTTCTAGGTACCATTTTGCGTCCAGCGCACCAGCAAACCTTCCTTGGAAACCTACCTAGAATTTAAGAGCTTGCCTGGAGTAAGCCTTCACTATTGCTCACACAACCAGACCCACCCTCCAACAGCACAAGTCCCATTCTACCACAGCTCTCAATTCTAGCCCTTCATCTGCCCTCCAAGATCCTGAGACATGCCCTCAGGGCAATCCTCCTCCCAAAGGAAAACCCAACTGACTTTAAATACTCCTACTCCTCCCCCAACCCTCCCCAACAGGTCTTGTAGGCTTTACCCTCAGTGGCACCCAGTAGGGACACATTTCCACTGTCAGAGATTTGCATTTGCTGTCCCCTCTATTGGGGCTGCCCTCCCCCCTCCACAACTTCTTGTTCCCTCTACTAAGCAGAGACGACTTTTCTCTGCCTATATTTATTTTAATAGCATCCCTTCTAATTTGAGGATATGTGGGCTCTTTTCACTTTCTTTCTCTTTCCCTTCTTTCCCCTTTCTTTTTCAAGCTTTCCTTTAAGTTGAAAACCTTCAAAACAATAACAAAAAAGCTGCTAAGAATGGGCATAATTCACCCCTTGTGCTTCTCAAGATAGTAAACAGAATTTTTTGTTAAAAGGACGAGTTTAGGGCTGGGAAGGTGGCTCAGTGGTAGAGCGCTTGCCTTAAGCTGAAGAGCTGAGGGACAGCGCCCATGCCCAGAGTTCAGGCCCCATGACCGGACCCCCCCCAAAAAAGGACGAGTTTAGAAACTTAGAGCCCTAGTCTGAATTTTTATTGGGTCATTGCTCGCTCAGCCATGAACCAGGTATATTGAAGCCAACCAAACTGGTATCATAGTCTATGTGACAAGCTTAAGCACGCATCTCAATATGGCTGCACACGTCAGCCATGTCACCAGAACCAGGTTTCTAGAGGACCTACTGGCAAAACCATGCAGTGAAATCAGCGTCCCTTCCCTCTGTGGCATGCTTACTGAGGCAGCGCTTACTTTATTTTAAAAAATAAGACTTCAAACATTTTCCAGTAAGGTACCAACATTTACACAGTGTTACAATTTTTAAAAAATGGACATGTGGCTATGTGATTATTCTGACACCGTGTGAATATATCCCATAAAACTCACACATAGGCTCATTCCCAGCACACCTAGGATAGCAAATAAATAGTTATTACCGCACCGGTGAAAATGAGATCTGGTTAATGTTTCCCCAGTCAGATATACAAGCTCTCTCCGTGTATAAATCATTTCAAAGGTTAGAAATTAGGTCTGATAAAACACTGCCCATACAAAATTAAGTGGAAGTATATCGCAATTATATGGGAATTCAATAGTTTTTCTCCTTGGCTTTCTCGTTTCCCTGCTCAGCATCTAATAATGAATATGGAGCAAAATATGCACATGTTGATAATTTAAAGCAATCCGTTCTCACCTAAATAAAACAAACTGCTCTTAAATCTCCAGTGTCTGTGACTTACTAGGATTCAACTGTATCTGTTTGCATGTCTTCTCCTTGGAGAGGCCTTTAGAAGTTGCTGAATAAAGACTTGGAAACAGCCTGGTTCTAAAGAACAAAGAATACAGAGCACAGGGTGGTTTCCTTCTGGCACATTCGCAGCCTCAACTGCAGTATTTCAAGGTATGCAGCGAAAAACATGGAGAAAATACCCATGTCATCACTTCGGGATTGCCTTTATTTGGTGTCTCACAGTCTATTTGCTTAGTAATAGAAAGGGAGAGCAAGAACTGGGTGATTTGTGTGCCTCATTAATTATTTCTACTATGTGTTTGGGTTTTTTTTTGTTTTTTTCCCCACTGTGTTTTGTTATATTAAAACAATTGGGGGGGGCTGGGAAGGTGGCTCAGCGGTAGAGCACTTGCCTTGCATGCATGAGGCCCTGGGTTCCATTCCCCAGCACCACATAAGAAAAAAGAAAAAAGCCGGAAGTGGTGCTGTGGCTCAAGTGGTAGAGCGCTAGCCTTGAGCTGAAGAGCTGAGGGACAGCGCCCAGGCCCTGAGTTCAGGCCCCACGACCAGACATCCCCCCCAAAAAAAATTGGGGTTGGAGGCATGGCTCAGTTGGTAGAGTACTAGCCAGCGAGCAAAAGTGGCAGGTACTGAGTTCGAGTTCCAGTCTCAGATCTGAAAAAAAGGAGAAAAAAAAGAAAGAAAAGAAAAGAAAAAGATTCAGAAACAATCCTGGAAGCTCAATAGCTGTCTAAAGCCTTTGGCTCTGAAAAAGAAAAAAGGAAACATTCTTGCAAAACATATCCGTCATCTCTACTCCCAGTTCTTTTCATCAGATCAGAGAAGCGAGTGGATTGAAGTTTCACACTGGGATACAGAAAATACCCTGTCCCTCCCTGGGTACTTTCATAGGAAAATATGACAAGGAACAGGGAGCTTGTTTGAGACCTTAGCCAGTGCGCATGGGCCATGTAGCTCCCTGGAAGGAAGGCAGGCTGCGGCAACCTCCAACTGCAGACTCCCTATCCTTACCTTAACCCACATGCCTGACAGGCTTGCTGTGGAGAAGATGCTGCTAGACCTCTCCCAGATCTGCTCAAGGGAAAAGCACGCTATGGCTTGCTTTGGGCCATTGAATACCTTTCCACTGTCTTTTATTCTCTATGCAGCTACTTGTTTCTGCTAAAAGGGTCTCCTGGATGATCCAAAGCCATGTTTCGCCTAAGCCTCTCTTCCATTACAGGTCCACTGAGAACGAGGGGACCTACATGAAGCAACCTTTAACACATTAGGATTTACAGTCCAGAAGAGCCTAGCCTCCCTTACACATGTTCTGTGAGAACCCTAATAACAACACTGATGTTGGGATCTGTGACGATATCTCCATGTTGTAAATGAGACAGCGAATTTCATTCAAAGACCAAAGTTTCAGTTCTCTATTTCCATACCAAAGTGGCTAATTGATTTTATTTTGGAGGAGGCCAATTAATGACAGCAATACATAGCTGGAACTACAGTTTTCTGTAGTATAATTTGACTTAATTTTTTTAATCCAGAGACCGCATATTTCTTATAACAACTAGAAGAAGATTCATAGAGATCCACTTGTAGCTAGGTTTTTATCCAAAAATGATCATTCTTATGAGTTAAGAAATGGATTCTGCTTGGGAATTCCATATGAAATCTGAGTAATGGAAGGTTAGAAGAATATTGGGGGGTATGAAAAACCAAAGAGTAAAGAGGACATGATGGGCAAAGCAGCGACACAATGGTAGAATTTAATCTAGTAGATATGTTCCCTACCAAGAACCAAACCCCCTCCCTTATTAAAAGAATCTAAGTTTCATTCAAAAAGTAATGCATGTAGCTCCGAATTTTCCTTCCCACTCTCACATGTAGCTAGAGCGAGCCATGTGACAGAACTGCAGCCCGTGGTTATATGCTGAGCATCTTGGGGAAAGCTTTGCTTTCTGCCCATACACATTGTAACCACATACTTGACTCCCCCTCAGGTAGAAGGCATACATGATGATGCCTGGCATCATGGTAACTGTTTTGCAACTATGAGGCAGGCAATAAGTCAAAGGACAGAGGAGAAGGAAGGTAGAAAAGAAATAGGTGGGATTTGAATCCCTGGTGTATAAGGGACACAGTCCTGGGACAGATGTCTCCCAATTTCATACTCAGCCGGTGCTGCTGGGTGGGGCTGCTGTTATTTACAGTCAAGGGCATGTGTGCCTTCATCAGTGTCCAGTGGCGCTGAGATGGGAGAAGGTGAGATGGTGCAGTGAAAAGGGAGGGACAGGGACTAAGGGCAAAGGCAAGAGGGGGGGGCAGGGCAGGTCACGCAGCGCATCTAAAACAGGTGATTCTTTCCCATGGAAAAGACACAAGTGCCGACTAAAATGGTCATTGAGTTCAAATACAAAGATGTCCAATGCTTAAATTGGCTGTACAAAATGTAACTCTGTCCTTCTGTGCTGTGATTGCTTGTATGAAAGCACATGCCTAGAGATTAAGACTGGACAGTTTGCATCCCGCAGAGAGGAGAATGGAACATATTTAGAATCAATTTAGTATTTCTCTTACAATCCATTTGGAGGAGTTCTCACTGAGAGTTCACATGCTTCGCCCTCTTCATAGCCTCATCTTAAAAGACCTGAGGGGAAAAAATAAGTAGCAACACTGCATTGCTTGGAAATTAAAACACACTATAGCAAGCTGGGAGCATACAGGCCACAAACCATGGAAAACACTGGGCTGATTAATATTCAAGAATGTACAGGCAACAGCAATAAATAAATGCACCAATAAGGATGCAAATCAATGATGAGTTTTGTGTCCCCTCAAAGTAAGGATGTGTCCCCTTGCACGAGAGGAAACTACACAGAGTACTGCATGCTTCAATAGTTCACTGTCCAGTCCCAAGATGCTGGTCACACGTGATTTCTTCATATCCATTATGATGGGCACCTCTGATGTTGGTTCAGAAACTAACCAAGAAGCAAAACAACAGGCAAAAGCAGGAGCAAGAAGTAGAATGGTCAGGAACAGCCCCGCCAGGGCATGCTTGCTGTGTACAACTTTGATTTCTTTTTCTTTTTCAACAAAGTAAGTGCAAATGTTTTTTTTTTCTTTTTTTACTATGATTCAGCAAAAGGCCAGAACCCAGTAAATAAGGACACGCCAACACCCCTTCGTCTTTTGGACTCAAAGCTTCACATGTATTCTCAAGTTACAAACATCAGCCTTGAGTAGAAGGGGCAAAGATCCTCCACTCGGCGTTTGCAAAAATCCACATCACTTCCACCCACCCACGTGCCCCAAAAGCAGTTAGGAAACTCGTGAGGAAACCCACTCATGGGGATTAAAGCTATCAAATGCCTACTTATTAATAGTTTTGCTTTTAAAAAAAGTCTCCACTTTCTTTCCTTTTAAAGAAAATGTTTGTTTCTGATATCCTTTGTTGGGATAATAACATGTCATTTGGTTCTTCCTTTCAAAATGATATGGCCAGTGATTTGCTCGAAATAACTGCCACCTTGTTGTTAATTAAACATGATGGATTCAGGGTCCTGGTTTGCCATCTGGGCCATATGTCTCAGCACATCCTTTTTTGTGATGATGCCAAGAAGTCTCCTAGAGTGAAAACAAAACAGAGGAAAGAGGTCAGCCTGCTGTCTTTTAGGACTCATCCTTGTCCCTAAGCCCCAGGGCCTTACCCACCTGCTCACAGAGAGGTGAAGTTTCCCAAACTCCCTTATGATTGGGTGGAGTGAGTGGGGGCACTGGCCAATGGTCTCTAGGTGAAGGTGATAAGTGCCATTCCTAGGTCTCCTGCAAATCCCCCACCACCACACACACTTCCACTCTCTTCATCTGGCGGCCAGAGGTAGAGGACCCAGTGAAGGACTCCGAGCTACAGAGGAGCCACCAGACTTAAAGATCTGGGTGGCTGGATGTACGGGCCTCCCACATGTGCAAGCCACATGGGGTGGGACGTGTGAGGAGAATAATGCTTTGCTGCGTTAACCCACGGGCATTACACGGGCTGTAAAAGTACAATGACCAGTCCACAAGCTTCAATTTGAAGGTTATAATTAATTTAAAAAATCTTACAGAACCCATGGTCAAAGCTTGACTCCACACGAAAAAGTAAGTAGTCCTCCCTGCATTCACACAGTGTCCAACTAAACAGACATTGCCACAACCCTTGCTTCGTCATTTCATTAGACACTTCATTAGAAACTCTGGATGAAGTGAAAGATTTGCTAGAAGAGAATTCACATTGCCAAGTAACTTTGCAAATGAATGCACACTCCATTGCACTCCACAAGAAGCAAGTTGCAGCAGCCTCACACCGAAATACCACGTAGCTAAGTAGCTTTTACTCTGTGGCTACATAAATTGATGGATGACTTATCAAACAAAGAAAAATCAGAAAACACAACTGCAATACCCCATCCTTTGTTTAATGAAAGTTAAGTTAGCCAAACTGACCTTTTCTGAGGTGGTGCTGGAGTTTAAACTCAGGGCCTCATGCTTGTTAGGCAGGGGTTCTACCACTTGAGCTACACCACCAGCTCTCAAACTCAACTTTTACTAACAGTGACCACCATGAGTGTTCAAAGGAGTATTCAAATCAGACCCACCTAGTGGGCCAGTCAGGCTGGAAGTTTGGCTTTTTGTCTCTGATCACATGGGCCTTAAATCACCTTGATAATGTGATGTATTTTTGTGTTATGTTAGTCCCCTCATCTGCCACAGTAAGAGAGATGATAAATACTGCCTCTTTCCCTCCATCTTTCAGGAATAACTTCAGAAGAGAAAAAAGCATTGAAAGGGGACCTTCAAATGCATTGTAGGCCTCTGTACATTATTTTTACAATAAAAAAATTAAAAATAAAAAGCATAGTAGATGCTGGTAGCTCATGCCTGTAATCCTAGCTATTCAGGGGGCTGAGCTCTGAGACTAGCAATTGAAAATTAACCCTGGAAGAAAAGTCTGTGAGACTCTTATTTCCAATTAATCAACAAAAAGCCAAAAGTGGAGGTATGGTTCAAGTGGTAGAGTGCCAGCCTTGAGTAATGTGGGAGCCAACTGAGAGCACAAGTCCCCGAGTTCAAGATCCCCAGTACCAACACACACACACACACACACACACACACAAGCATACCAGACACTAGCCAGGGCAAGAAGTGGTCACCTAAATGGGGATAGAGATGAGGACGGTGGGGTAGGATCTCACTGAAGCACTTCTGAGCTCCTGGACTTTAACCATGGCCATTCACGATTTTCAATCCACTTCTACAAATCAAAGTACTATCAAGCTAAAGAGACCCAATGAAACAGATGCTTCTCTACCAAACCCAACAAGCCAAGTCTGACGCTCTGTATTTATCAGCCTGGGCTGCCGGAACAAAATGCCACAGACCAGGTGGCTTAAATAAAAGACATTCATTGCTCAACGTGTCATATGAAGGTGCCAGCAGGGCTAATTGCTCCAAAGGCCTGTCTCCTTGGCTTTCAGATGGTCACAGGCCCATTCTTGCTATGTCCTCATATGGCCTCTTCTCTGTACACAGATTCTCCTTGGGCCTCTTCTTCCTATAAGAACGCTAGTCCTGATGGGTTAGGGTTCTGCCCTAATTGAACTTGAATTGCCTTTTTAACAGCCCTGTGCTGCCTGGTGCTTGTGGCTCACGCCTGTAATCCTAGCTACTCAGGAAACTGAGATCTGAGCATCACAGTTCAAAACCAGTTGGGACAGGAAAGTCCATGAGACTCTTACCTCTAATGAACCACCAGAAAACTGGAAATGGAGCCATGGCTCAAAGTTGTAGAGCACTAGCACTGAGCAGAAGAGCTCAGGGACAGTGTGCAGGTTCTGAGTTCAAGCCCCATCACACACAGACACACAGACACAGACACACACAGACACACAGACACACACACACACACACACCAAAAAACAAAAACAAATGCATGACAGGAATATAAAATAGGTCCTGCCACCGGGTGGGGTACTCATGGCAGGGAGAGGGTGCCGGAGTGAATATAATCCAAATACTTCATATGCATGTGTGAAAATGGAAGTCTGTTGAGATGGTTTGGGAGGAGAAGAGGAAATGCAGGAATGTGACAGAGGGGTGAGTCTGATCGAGGTACATTGTAAGCATATTTGGACTTGTGAAAATGAAACCTCCTGTATCACTAATGTTAATAAAAAATGTATATTTTTAAAAAGGTATATAGAAGTGACTTAGCCACATGCTAGTAGCTCATACCTGTAAATCCTAGCAACTTAGCTGGTTGAGATCTAAGGATCAGGTTCAAAACCTCTAAATTAACCAACTGAAAGCCAGATGTGGAGGTGTAGCTCAAATGATAGAGTGTCAGCCTTAAGCAAAAGAAAAAGCTAAGGAAGGGTGTGAGACCATGAGTTCAAGTCCCAGTCCCAGCACATCCACACCCACACGCATGCGTGAACACACACAGTGATTTAGATGAACCTAGTTTTTGTGTGTGTGTGAGAATACCATACAGAGGGGTTACAATTACATGGGCAAGATAATGAGTACATTTCTTATCAAGCATTGCAGCCTCCTCCTTTGTTTCCCCTTCCCAT